TGTCCTAACACATCAGCCTGGATGTTTAATTAATTCATTATTTAGGAGATAGCTGATTAGCTTAACAGGGAAGCCCTCTTATTTTAGCGCAGGGAGGATACACAGCTTCATATACACTAGCTCTCTAGGAATTTCTCTGCCTGTCTCTGGCAGAACTTATGTAAAACCAAATCAATCTATTGACATGACCAGCCTTGGAGGTGGAACAGGAGACCTAGAGGCCACCAGTCTGGCCTGTGCTCATGCCCAAAGTCCATGTCCCCCTCCGCGATGTGCCTATCCCAGGGTACCCAGGGTGGTACACTCTCAGCACATGTTTGGGTTCACCCAGAGATGAAGAATTTGGTTGACACATCTGCCATGTAGGACGTCTAGTTGTGCCCAAGCTGGGTAGGAGTGAAACAGCAGAAAGGGCTCTCTTAGGAAAAGAAGGGTCACCACCACTTCCAGCCCAAAAGTATCAGCCACCTCCTCCACCCAGCCCTTCCAGGAGCAATTTAGAGCAGTGCAGTCAGAGAATAAAGTAAAATAACCCCCCTGAAGTAACAACTCACTTCGCTGCACAATACTACCTCCAGGGGGAAGATGAAAGGAGAATAAGCCAGAAGTGACAGATGTTGCATCTCTTACTGTACTGATACTGATTTTAGGGGGATAAAGATAGCATAAGAACCCATACTGAACAGAGCAGACCATACATCACCTAAAGCCTTATTCTTCCTGCTTTGAATACAATATTTAAGGCAGAGAAAAAGATCACTTACGTAGATTAACACTGTCTCCTGATCCACCCCTCTTTTTTGCTTACCATGAGCCTATTTTACTGGGGCGAGGGAGGGATTGTTGCTGTTTTAACATCTCCTGCCTTCAGATTCCCCGTGACGTGGACACACACACAGAGGAGAGCCATCCTGTCTTTCAGCAACATTTGCCCAGGGATGGTTTTATGGATGACAGGGCTTTTATAGGGCAAAAATTCAACATTTGAGTCTTCATTTCCACTGTTCAGTGACCTACTTTATGGAGATGGGGAGGGGGGCGGGGGAGGCTGCTAGGGGATTACTTCAGGTCCATTTATATAAGATACTCAGGACATAAATCTATGCCTTTCCTGCTGAAAGTACAAAATGTCAAGGGAAAAATATTGCTGCTAAACAAGTGCAATGCCGAGTATGCCAAGAGGTTGGCGTGTCCCTCGCACTGCCATGTTTCCCCTTCCAATCTGCTGAGGGGACAGAGGAGACCCAACCATCTCCCTCCTTCCTTACGAGGTGACACAGCCCCTCCTGCCTCATTTGGTGACTCCAGGAGGAACCTTGTGCACGTCAGGAAGAGAGAATTCTCCCCAAAACCAGAAAAAAAACCCCACCACACAGCGTGATATTAATATATCCGTGCAAGTCCTGGCATTTGGAAAACGTGTTTGTGCCTAGGCCTTATGTTCATAATTACCGCTGCAGTAATGAATCTTGATGAATCAGTAATGACCTTCAAAAGCACACTGAAACTATTTCAGCTTCCACTTTATCGGGTAATGAAGTCATACAAATGGGCAGAATTTCTTTTAAGATGTTAAATAAGGCTGATCCCAAACGCTAGGTTTTCTTCCCTCGCTCTGTTTTTCTGGAGTGTTATGGGACAGCAAATTTTAGAGCTGACATAATTCATCACTGCCTGCAGAAATTGTGACGAGCTTATACATACGGCCATCTAATGGATGTTTCCAATAAATCCCATCATTTTCCTAAATGATTCCCCAGCAAGTACAGATAATATAGTGGTTACTGCCTGCCAGATGGGCAATGCATGACTGCACAAACGTCACTGTCCACTTCACCCTACCAAGCAGGTAACAAAGTTTGCGTGCGACTGCCATCCATCATGCCAAACTCGGCTCTTACCCTATAATAATCCTCTCAGTTCATTACCTGTTAGTAAGATACGCATTAATAAGCTTGAAGAACATGTTTCTTTTGGCCAAGAGAAAGGCTGTTCCCTTGTCCATGAACGTGTTGATCAGTGTTTCTATCCCTACAGTCTTATGGGATAACTGAGGTGGGAAGGGAGCTCAGGAGGTCTCTAGTCCAAGCCCCAGCTCAAAGCATGGCCAGATATGAAGTCAGACCAGGATACTCAGGGCTTTATTAGGTCTTCAAAACCTCCCAGGATAGACATCCTGCAACGTCTCTGTTTCCTGCTTGGACGGCCTCATGGAGAAAAAGTTGGTTCTTATATCCAGTCTGAACTTCTCATTTCAACTCATGCCTGTTGCTTCTCACCTTCCCAGTACACACTGCTGTGAAGAACCTGGCTCCGTCCTCTTCATACATCCCTTATAGGCAGGGGGTGGCTGCTGTTAGGTGTCCCAGGGCTGTCTTCTCCAGGCTGGACAAGCCCCCTTTCCCCAGCCGCTCTTGACCATCTTCATGGCCTCTGTTGGACTCACACCAGTTTGTTGAAGCCTCTCCTGCATCAGGGCTCCAAAACTGGGCACGGTACCCATTGGCCTCCATCGCTGCCAGGGCACCCTGCTGCTCATGTCCACTCGCCGCCTACCGGTACCTGGCAGAGCTGCTCCCTGGCCAGGCAGCCCCCGCCTGCACCACTGCGAGGGAACAGCCCTCCACAACTATCTCCCCAAGCTGCTTGCATTGCTCCAGCATAGTCATTCTGAAGTTAACTAAAAGTCCATCAAATTGTGCAAAATCATTTCAAGAGTTATCAAACGGTAAAAATAAATACTTCTGGTTTATACCTACAAAATTTATCAAAAAGAAGTAAAATATTCAAGGATCCCTGAACAATAACACAAATAGAAAATAAATAGGAAATAATAAAATGAGAACTAACCAAAGTAAATAAAATCAGTGTTTTCCTCTTGTCTCTCAAGGTTTGTGTATGTGTACATTATGTTCCAGGGTGGGACACAGCAAAGCTGAACGGTGTACATGCTGACACCTTGTTCATTTATACACACACATTAATTTGACTCTATCAGTGAACACAACTCTCTGCATCTCACTTTCCAAACACACCTTATTGTCCAGTCCACCTCTCCAAACTCCACTATAAAGATACTACAGACGACTGTGTTGAAGGCTTTGCTGAAATCAAGGAGAGGAGCTTTCCTTTCCCTCCCCCTGCCCACAAAGCCAGTTTCTTTATCTCAGCCAGTAACCCGGCTGGGTCAAGCACAGTTCACTTCTAGTAATCCATGCTGGCTGTTTCTATTCACCTTCTGGTCCTTCACATGGATTGACATGGCTTCTAGGAGAACGTGCTCCCTGGCTTTCCCGGGGACCAAGGGTACGATGACCGGCCTGTACTCCGCTGCATCTCCTTCTTGTAAGATGGGCTAAAATTTCATTTTTTCCAGTCTTTGTTGGATCTCCTTAGGTCACCACAACTTTTCAAAGATAATAAAGTGGCCTTGAAGTGACACTGGTCAGTTCCCTTAGATACTTCCTACCCAGTCCTGTGGGCTTATATATGTCCCTTTTGCTTAAGCGGCCCCTAACTCAATCACACGGCTTTCCTTCCCAGGCTCCTACCCAAGACACAGGTCAATCCTGTCTCATCTCCCTGTTGTACATAATATTCTTCATGAAACCCTTTAAAGGGGGTAAACCTTCCAGACTCATGTCAGAAGTGATCTGGTGCTCCACAGTACCAGTATCATACTGAAGATGGAGGGAAGGTTCACGTATTAAAATCCAAACAATAATTTATTGTAAAAGTTGTAAGAGAGATTGTTTAGATGTGAACTGGACTTGCAAAGTATTACTGATGTAAAATTTGGAGAATAGAACTGCGGATATACTCTTGGTAGCAAAAGTGGGCATTTAATCTTTTTGAAAAAGTAGAAAGCATATACTTGAACGTGTTTGGTAAAAAGGGGTCAGAAGACATCTATAAAACATTTTGCTTCCATGTGATAAAAATGTTTCCAGTGTGTTCTTTGTTGTCTTACTTCTAAACAGCACACATCGCGGGCTTTACCCCAGTGAATAACAAGCACTGTCTGAGGAAAAGCACGGCAACGCTTCAGATAAAAGACAGGATGGATAGTAGGTAAAATACTGACACTATTTGCTTCTTCATTTTAACATAAAACAGTGTTCCGAAAGCAGAATTGCTTGATTTTTATTCTTCTCTGTAGAAATCAACCAGCAACAACTTTTTTTTTTTTCTTTTCTTTTTTTCGTTGTAACTAATTTTTGGCAGGAAAAAAAAATTCTGCATTCAGAATGTTTTTTAGTTCATTTTATTAACATGGACTACCTCAGCTATTAAAGTCAACTACTAGGGGGGAAAGTCCAGAAAATCTATTGGTTACAAACTGGCTACCAGCAGCAAGATGAAGAAAAGCAGGTAATTACCATTGTGTTACATGTTCCTACTCCATGGTACAAGATATTTATTACCAGTCAAATTAATAGTCAAGGCTCTAGCTCATCAAAGAGAGAGACATTTCAATCACTGAGCTGGAAAAAGACGTAATAGATACCTTAAACTTTTGGCCAGTTGGGAATAGCATGATTCACCCACACCCAATGCATAACCGTTAAGAAAAGAGAGCTCCTTCCTCCGTACTTGGCACTCGCTGTTCGATTAGAGCAGCGGGATGGATTCCGTTTGGTTAACATAACACCCTCCTGTTTCTCCTTGTCGTTTCCCACTGGCTATTTTGTCACGACTCTGGAGTCCTTGAAGTCCTAAATAAAGGCCAAAGTCCCTTTATAGAAGTAATAACTTTCCTGACAATAAAAGAGGACATGCCTGGGTAAATCAGATACCAGTGTGGGTTTGGGAGAGCGTACCACACACCACTTGTTCAGGTTTCTGTCCTTTAATGGAAGCAACTCAGCCCCTGATCCAGCGTCTGCTGGGACACCCTCGTGGTGAGAAGCGCTCTGTATACTCCTTTTTTTCCCTGAGTAAAGGAAAGCCGTAGCTTGGCTATATTGAAGTAAATCTGATGTCAAAGAAAGCCTCCTTACCTGTACTACTGGAGATGTTGACATCAATGCTGATATCCGATATGCCACCTCCTTTCAGAGACGCAACACATGTGTATGTCCCAAAGTCAGTGAATTTCAAGTCAATGATGTCCAGGTTTGTGGTGCCAGGTGAAACATCAGGGTCAGTCTGTGTGATGACCATCCTCTCAGAGCTTCGCAAGGGACGTCCATTTTTAAACCAGCTGAAAGCTTCCGAGGGGATGGCTTCCACCTGGCAGGAGATCTTCACCTCTCGCCCAATCTGGATGTTGTCGTCTTTGTGATATGGGTCAGGGGTTATCCAAAACCGTCCTTTTTTTAAGGCTGAAATATGCCCAAAAAAAAAGTTTACTATAGTAAATTGCAAATTTTGCATATTCAGACTTTACAAAGACTTTTGCTTCATGTTATGATATGATATATATGATTTTACATATGATTATACATATGATTTTAATAGGGCCTGTAGAGATAGGACAAAGGGTAATGGTTTGAAACTATAACAGTGTAGATTCAGACTAGATATAAGGCAGAAACGTTTTACAGTGAGGGTGGCGAGACACCGTCCCAGGTTGTCCAGAGAGGTGGTAGGTGCCCCATCCCTGGAAATATTCCAGGTCAGGTTGGACGGGGCTCTGAGCAACCTGGTCTAGCTGAAGATGCCCCTGCCCATGGCAGGGGGCTTGGAACCAGATGGCGTTTAAAGGTCCCTTCCAACCCAAACCATTCGATGATTCTACGGTGCTTGGGAAGTCACTGAAGTTTCCAATGCACACATTCAGCACACGGTTAATTTTTGGTAGGATCAAACCTTAATCAAGTATCATCACAGAATATACATTGCTAAAGTACTTATGAAAAATAGGAAGTCACAGCACCTAAATTAGGCTGAGCTGCTGACAACTGAAGAGTAATCAAAATAATTCATGAACCTTCAGTGTTTGTTATCCGTCTCTGGAGGTATTTACAAGCCCTTCCACACCCCCATGCTCTCAGAGCACTGAGAGAAGAGAAAATAGAGATATCAACCTAACATCACTAATACAACCAGTAGTGTCATCTCCAATCTATCTGGAAACAAACACGGCCATGCAAAATAGCTTTGTGCCAGCTGGTTAAATGAGAAGAGGTGAGCACATGCCTGAGGCCACAGCCTGCCCTGGTTTATATACCCTGCTCCTTCCCCGTGGCAGCCTGGAGGGATCCCTCCATCCCCGCGGCCGCCCGGAGGCAGCTGCCTTACCCCACCGAACGGCAGAGCGGTGGTGACCGACTGCCTTGTTCAGGTGGGGAAACTGCTGCAGGCTCTAAAAGGTAAGGGGACTGAAAGTACATCTTTAGGCCTTAGCAATGGTCAACAGCAACAGGATGCTCTTCTGAGGTGTAACCACGCGGAAGAGCCCATCACGAGCACCTTGGTTGCCTTGTGTCTTGTCAGATGAGGAAAAGCCATCCCATAGAGAATCATACTCACAGGAGCAACCTGAGACTTAAGGCCAAACACTCGGCTTAAGGCTGAACACTCAGCCAAGAGAAGAACATTATCACGTAAAGAGGCACAGTACATCCCAAGGATCTCCATCTGCACCCAAGATCAATTCTCTAACCCACAGCAAAGCACAGACAAGGTAGTCTCCGTGTTTCAGATGGGAACCCCGAGGCAGATGAGTTTTTTGAGGCCATTTCAAAGGCAGGTTCAGTGCTCAGGACTGCCCTGCACCCACGCAGAGGCACAACCACTCTGGAAAACACTATTCCCCACCACCTTCCTGGCAAGACCAGCATCTCTGACCAGCATTCCCTCATCAATCTACCGCACAGGAGCAAAATAATACTGCAACTCACTTATCTGATATTTTCTTGTCACCCTTTAAATGAGCATAAAACTATCCAGAAACTATCATCATTTACCTCAATAAAGTGATTGCTCTAAAGCAGTATAGATATGATACTTATTTTTGGAAGAGTGCTTCAGAATCAGCCATTAAGTCTTTCAAATACACATATATTTTGATGTTCTGAATACAAAATGCTACTTATACAATCCCAAGATCCCTCTCCTCCCTATATATGTGCCGCATAAGTACGTATGTATGTTTATACGTGCTATCTCCAACCGGAAACTCCCACAGTGAAAATACCAGTTAGAAATATTACAAGCAAATACACAGGTTTAGTGCAAGCACTGGAAGACAAATACTTAAATCCACCATTTCTTGTTATCATGCTATTGGAAAGTATGGAAAAGCGCGCACGGTGCCCCACATGTGGAACATTTGAGTAAAGGACCCGTTTGCCACACTTCTCCTTTCTTCCCTCATATATTTACACACTTACAGCCAGTGAAGTGGGATGTTGTTACAAACGGCAAAGGCTATGAGCTGAAAATTTCCCTGGATCCCACCCTTTGGGTAATATCTACTTTTCTCTTGCTGCATAGAGAAATGGTAACAACATCAAATGGAAGCAGATGTACGGGGCACCAAGGACACTAGTAAAGCACGGTGCAGCGGCTCCTTGCATCTCTACAAGGGGGGAAAACGCTAATTCAGACTCAGTTTTGTTAGTGCAGGAGCTCCTTGAACGAAACAACTCTGGCGCCTGCAAATGCCATGCTGAATTCGCACTTTCCCAGCTCTGAAAAGAATTAATATTTAATTAATAATTAGGGTGGGGGTTTTTTTTCAATGTGGGAAAAGAAGCATAAAATCTGGCTGCTTGTGGACACCGCCTCATACATCGTGTGAGAAACTTCTTCCATTGAGGAAGGCAGCCCTTTTAATCAGAGAATTATAGAATGATTTAGGTTGGAAGCAACATTAAAGCCCATCCAGTCCCACCCCCCTGCCATGGGCAGGGACTCCCCCCCCCAGCCCAGTTTGCTCCAAGCCCCGTCCAACCTGGCCTTGAACACCTCCAGGGATGGGGCAGCCACAGCTTCTCGGGGCAACCTGGGCTACTGTCTCACCACCCTCAGAGTGAAAAATTTCTTCCTAATACCTAATCTAAACCTGCCCTCTTCCAGTTTGAAGCCATTCCCCCTCGTCCTATCACTCCATGCCCTTGTGAAGAGTCCCTCCCCAGCTCTCCTGGAGCCCCTTTAGGTGTTGGAAGGCCACTATAAGGTCTCCCTGGAGCCTTCTCTTCTCCAGGCTGAACACCCCCAACTCTCTCAGCCTCTCCTCACAGCAGAGGTGCTCCAGCCCTCGGATCATCTTCATGGCCTCCTCTGGACCCGACAATGAAAAAATAGTTACATTTGCTGTGCTGATCGGGTATGTCACGAAAGGCATTTGTCTGGGTGCTGCCATTTCATTTAACTGTGTATCCAAGAATCCAAGTGGTTAATGTGTTTTTAAGAATTTATTATTATTTCATGTATTTAAGAAGGTTTCGTGACTTTTATCAAGATTAAATTTGCACTAAAATGCACTAGTCTTTACTGAGCATCTCTCATTCCCTTTTAAACGCTGCAGCCAGTTCCCCAGGCAGCAGAATGAACATGTGCTTTGATTCAAGAGGATGAACTTATATTGTATGACAGTTGGAAACAGCAAGAAACTTTGTAACACGAGCTGAACTTTTCTTTTTTCTGAAGATGGAAGAACAAACAATGCTTACATACACAAAACCCAGTAAATATATTATGCAAATAATTTTCAGACAGAGAAAAAGAAAAAATAACTCATGATAGGCACGATGAGCAGCACATTTCAACCAGAATTAGTTGCTAACAACCTCAATAAACTATTTTTATTTCTGAATATTTCTTCTCTGCTCCGAGTGCTCATACAGACCATTTCAGCAGTTTTCCATTCGTATAAAGAACAACAAGGTCTAATAGAAAAGTCACGTTAACTTTCATCTGTCCTTTGTTATGCCTAGTGCTACAATACCGCCTGCAAGCTAAGCTAAGGGGTACAGAACCTCAAATGTTGGGCCAAAAGCCTCTCACTTCATGGCCAGGGCGGGCTCCACTCTCTGGCTCATGGACTGAATCATAAAAACAACTAAGTTTTGTGGCTGCTGCTTGTCGGTTTGGTTTTATGCAGTCTGAGTGTTAGGTACAAGGAATAACTGGGCTGGATCATCCGCTGCCCTGATCTACTAGAGCAAACTCTAACCGCCAAAGACCTGTGCTGAGTATACACCTGAGCTAAGCTTTTTCCCGTCCATCTGAATACCGGGAGTTCAAAGAAGGGCTGTGACTCTGTGAACGATATGGAAAAACGTAAGGGAATTTCCAGAAATTCTGAAGTGAAGGAAAACACCTCTTTGTTCTATTCCCTTTCCTCCTTCCTTCCCCCACACCAAACCTCTTCAACATCTCTTAAGCCACGGGAATGTACACGCTATATTCGTCAGGAACAGCCATGAAATCCCCACATCAAACAATCCAACACCTGTGTAACTACAATCTATGGTTGAAAGTCAGTGTACTGTTTTTATAACCCCATTCTCCAAGACTCCACAAACTGCACAGCTATCAGCATTTTCTTCTGTTACCAACAAAATCAGCAGAAAATTTGACTTTAAAATACAGTGTCTTTTCAGAGTTAAGAAAGATCATTAAACAACCCATATCTGTGTATCCCTAATCTGACTTGGCACCAGAATAAACACAGTGATCTCTACAATTAACCTATGCATCTAGGAATTTCTAATGTGCCACCAAATCACATGAAAATCACTATCCATACCTTGAAGATGTCACAGAATCACAGAATTTTCAGAGTTGGAAGGGACCTCTAGCAATCACCTAGTCCCACTCCCCTGCTGAAGCAGGACTGCCCAGAGCACATCACTCAGGACTGCGTCCAGGCGGGTTTTGAACATCTCTGGAGAAGGGGACTCCACCCCCTCCCTGGGCAGCCTGTGCCACTGCTCTGTCACCCCAACTGTAAAGAAGTTTTTCCGTGTGTTGGAACGGAACTTCCTCTGTTCCAACTTGTGCCCATCGCCCCTCGTCCTGTCACTGGGAACCACCAAGAAGAGTGTGGCTCCATCCTCCTTCAACCCACCCTTTAGATATTTGTAAGTAGTAATAAGGTCTCCAGGAAACCAACCACAGATGCCCAACGATTTCTGATAGTTGCAGGCATATGGAGCTGGAGAGCAGTGGGAGCAGGGAGCAGCACGGGGCCATGATGGGCAGACAAGCTTCTCTCTGACCTGTGACCCGGGACTATGACCAGAACTGCCCCAGATCTGACAGTGCCAAGTTGCTCAATATTTGGCCCAGAAGCAGCACAAAAAGTAGAGTGGGTCTCATTGGAACTCCTGGTGGGATTGCTCCACCATTCATTCTGAAGGATGGAAAGCAC